CTGGCTTGCATCTTGCCTTCTTTCCAAGTGGTCTACGCACCCCACACTCCACTTCCCTTTTTAGTTCTCCTTGGACCGCTTTAATGAGTGTTTGTCGAATTGAATTGAATTGAATTGAATGCATAAAGGATTGGAGAAGCTCTAATCAAAGGAAGGAAGGGGGAAACAGAGAAAAAGTTGATGAGGAGAGAAAGTTAGGAACCAAACAGTGCACCTGCTCCCTCTGTTTATTTCCCTTCGCTCTATGGATTCATATTCTTCGCTCCTAATAGGAGGCATCTCCATCCCTAGCAGGGCTCTTTCCCTTTCTAGAGGTTCTGGGCCTGGAGTCAGGAAGATGTGAGTTCAAATATGGCCTCAGACACTCATTGGCTGTTCAACCCTGGGCAAATCACTTAACCTCTGCCTGCCTCAGTTTCCTCAACTGTAAACTGAGAGGGTTTCTGAGATGCTTAATGAATTCTTGTTTATATTTGTTTTCTTCCTTCCTTTCTCCCTCCCTCTTTTCCTTTCTTTTTTCACTCCCTAATTCTTTCCCTGGGTCCCTGGGTCCCTGGGTCAGGCCAAGGAAAGCTCCTGCACCTTTCCAGAGGCAGGGAGGAGGCCCCATTCCTTAGAGCTGGAATTCTATGGAAACTGTGGAGTGGTCGGCAAGGACTTTCAAGCCTATAATGAATACCCAGGCAGCCCAGGGGTGGAGAAGGGAGGCTTTGAATGTGAAAGGCTAAAGAGAGACCCCCTGGAAAGGTTCCTTTTCCAACACAGATGGGGCCTGGAATGAGCGGGCTGCTCCTCCTCTTCCTCTGCCTTACCTGCTCTGATAATCCTAATTGCCAAGGCATTGTGCTGCAGCCCCAGGGGGCTGCGGAAAGCCTGCCTAGCACCAGGATGGGGGCGGGGGGTGGGGGGTGGGGGCGCGGAACCACGGTATGGGCCTCTGGGACCACTGCCTGGGGCTGCTTCTGACCTGGACAATACAAAGGTTTAGGGTAGTGCCTCCCAGTGACAGTTGGAGAGGCAGGTCGGCCTCCTCTTTTCACTATCCACTCTCTGGCCTGAAATCCCGACTAGAGCAAAGCCTTTCTAGGCAGGGGGAAGCGGGTCTAGGACGAAGGGAGGGTCTAGAATTTCCATTGACTTCAAAGCCTCCACCTGCTGCCTCCTCAGCCCAATGCCCCGCCCCCTGCTGCAATTGACTAAGCCTGGAGTCCCAACCTGGGGAGACGGGCTCCTCCAGTGTGGGGAATGATCACAGTAGTGGCCATTTCCGCTGCTCTTGCCTTGAACATTAAGCTACCCTGGGGTTCAAGTCCCGCCTGGGAAGCATAGTGGTTGAGTGACCCTGGACTAGCCACTGATCCTCTTCTCTTAGCAGGCACTCTCTAAGACTGTAAGCCACCCACCCGCTCCAAGGGACCGCGCTCACTACATAGATGAAATCACAGATTGGGAACAAAACCGAACCAAGCCAATCGTCCATGCCCCACGAGATTTGAACAGGTCATGTCAGACATCCGTGTCAGGTTCCTAGATTTGGAGTTAGAAGGGAGCTCAGAGGCCAGTGGTCAGCCCATTCATTTTTACAGATGAGTCTCAGTGATGTGAAGTGATGTGCCCAGGGTCGCACAGCTACTAAGAGTCCGAGGAGAAATTAGAACCCTGGTCTTCCAGCATCCAAGATCAGCCAGCTGCATCAGAATGCCTCAGAGATCATTAGAAATACATTCCCCATCCCCTGCATCAATGTCACCCCCTCCTCCGGTTAATCGGTGCTATCCCCAGAATTCTTAAGCATCTGGGAGGTGGGCTGGGGGTTCAAAGGGCAGGGTGGCTTTGGTACCCTTTGAGTCTGAGAGCCACTGGACCAAGAGAGTTGGCCTCTGAATATGGGAGTCGACAGAAGGGAGTTGTAGACAGCTGGGAATCCGAGACTAGCCTGGGTCGATTTCCTCCTCCTGGCGGCGTCTTTTCCAGATCCCAGAGAAGACAATCTCCACCTCGGTGAGGAAGAAAGCTGCGGTTTGCTCCATCGGAGGTAGGCGCCTAGAATCTGCCTAAGAGCTCTTGGAATGAAGCTGGTCGACGCACCTTAGCGCGAAAGAAGAAAAAGAATCGTGAGAAATTGGCTGTTGGGGGATGGAACTCATATGACAACCCCCCCCATCCCCCAATCACCAGCACCCTCAGCAGCTGAGAAAAAGCTTTACTTGTCAAAGAAGCCGGGAGCCTCTGGTCCAGATCACAAGCAGCTGCGCGCCAGGGGCACTGGCCACTGGGAAGGAGGCTTTGCTTAACGACCCTTCGAAAGCCAGCCCTCTGCTCGGTCCTTCTTCCTGTGCCACCCCTTGCCCCCGCCCTCCATCCCTCTCCACGTGGCTGGAGACCCCAGAGCTGAGCGAGTGCCAATAGCTGCGCAGCCCCTCGCCTTCCCCTCCCCCCAAGCCTTTTCACTCTACAGTCCCCCTCCTCCACGTTCCTCACCCCCTCCTCCTCCTGGAGATCAGCGGCGCTGCCACTCGGTGTAGGACCCTCCGGGAGCCCCAACCTCACTCTCTAGGCAGCGCGGCCCCTAGGCGTGCTGCTGGTCCCGCATCCATCAGTCCATCAGTCGGTCCGCCCCTCCGGGGGACGCTGTCTCTGTGCATCCATTCCTCCAGTCCGCCCAGAAGCGCCCGCTTCAAGACAACCCAACGGATCTCCCGCCCCAAACTACCCGGTACCTTCCCCGCGTGAGTCCCCCGCCAGAGGCTGCCCAGTTCGGTGGGCATCTCCCCAAGGACGGGAATGCTGGCATGTCAGAACAGCGGGGCCAAAGTGGCCCCTGGCCACCACAAGATCTCCTTCTCCATCCTAGACATCCTGGACCCGCAGAAATTCAACAGGAGAAAGGGCCCGGTGGCCAGGGGAGGCCTCTGCGCCTCCCGGGAGCAAGAGAAAAGTTTGGGGCAGGCGGAGTCTGCCGAGACAGAGCCCGGCGGACGGAGGGAGGCCGAGATCTCCGGTAAGGATGTCTTGCGCTCCGGTGGCCATAGGCCCACGGCTGCTCTTTCCTTTCCTACCTGCCTGTGCCCGGGAGCTAAGGGGTGGCTGAGGGTGGCTGGGGCTCCAAGTGGCTCCAACTTTTCACCTGCCACTTGGGTTGTCCCGGACAGGTGTCTCCCCCCTACCCAGAAACATCAGGACACAGAGGGAGGGACAGATTGCGTTTGGAGAAGAGGAGGGGGTGGATTGTCTACCTCTATGCAAGATCGAGTCAGGTCAGGAAAAAAGGAAGGGTGACCATATGCGGAGGGAAGGGACAAGCATTTGGCCCAAGGTATCCATTCCTCTCCATCCCACCAAAGCCGTCAGGTTGCCGGGCCCTGATCGTGCTGCCTGAGCCACATCTGGAGATGGGTACACTTGCCAGGCAAGCCAGTGATTCTCTGCCCAGCTCAGTTGTGCGAAGAGGGATGGAGATCGAGATAGAGTGAGTTCACTTCTGGTACTGTCTTGTATCAGAGTTTCTCGGCCAACTTCCTCGACCCAGATCGAGAACACAGAGCCATTCACTGCTTTGGGGGAATCCTTTCCTTTGGACCCCCTCCTTTTTCCTTTTCCCACCACAGATAGGGAGGAGGAAGGAATTTCCTGCTACCATCATTTTAGGAATAGATGAGTGGGTGCGGGTGAACAGACATCTTTCCCCCAGAAAGAGGTGGCCACTCAGAGAAGCCCAGGAGTGCAGGGGGGGAAGAGAGCCCAGTCTAGGAAAGGAAAGGGGAAAGGTGGGGTGGGCAGCTCAAGCCCCCAAGCTCCCCACCCACGAGACATGGGCAGACCCAAAGCTGAGCCATAATTGTCTGGGGCTCTGGGTGCTTTTGGCCAAGGGAGATTGGGCTTGGGACAGCCGGGCCGGGCCCAGTAATTGTTCAGGTCGCCCCTCAGAGGGGACCTGAGCGCCCTGCCCCCCATTGATCGATATTCTATTACTGCCTCCCGCATATCTCCTTCCCACAGCTTGCAGGTGCGCACTTCAAACCCCTTTCCTTGTCTGATCCTAATATTCCTCGATTAAAACTTACCTTTAATAGATGACATCTATCGATCTGGCCCCTCACAAATCTGAAACTCTATTAACACAGCAGGAGAGAGAAGATGGGAGAGGGGGAATTTCGCTTTTTAAAAGGAGGGGATCTTAATAACTTCTTTTTTTTTAATTGCTTCCAAATCTATACTGGTCACAGACCAAAATCGTCTCCTCGGGACTTGGGAGACATAACACTTGAGAGCATCTGACATCTCAATGTCTTTTTGTAATAAGATCTCCCCTTACCCTCGCCCCCAAATTGTCTCTCCCTAATAATTTTGCCCCCCAAATACCTTTACCCACAGGCTGAGTGGCCTTTATTGATGGGGTATAGTACTCTTTGGGAGGAAAGACTGGGGGATACTCCTACAATATGGCAAGGGATAAAGTTTAAGCTGTCCCAGATTCAACTTCACTAGAGGCAGCAAAATGTAAGTGTCGATTCTCTCTGGGCCTCAGTCTCGTCCCCTGTAAAAGGAGTGGGGTGGACAGCATGATCAGTAAGGTGTGTGTGGGGGGGGCTAACTGGATGACTTCGGGTGACACAGGATCATAACTCCCTAAGGAAGCTATCTAGTCTAACGCCTATCATTTTACAGATGAGGAAACTGAGGCTCAGGAGGGGTTAAGTGACTTGCCTAGCCATGAAGCCCGCTTCCAGTTCTGGATCCCGTGGACGGGTCTGGGGCCGGGTTTCCCCATCTGTAAAACGAGGAGTTTGGACTGGCTGCTGTCTAACCGTGTAGTCACCGCTCAACTGGAGGCTTGTCTGGGCTTCCGTGGCCACGGAGGGTGGCTTAGGGGGCAGGGGCGTTGGAGAGAGCAGGGACTCGGGACCGAGAGCGTTGGGCAGGACGTCCCTAGTAATGGGAGGCGGCGGAAGTAGGTCGGAGCCTGGCGCGGCTAGTGTGACGATGCGGGTCTATACCGCATGCGGCCCGCGTCCCCGCTAGCCAGGCTTGCTTCTCCCCCTTAGACAGCGCAGCAGCGTGCGTCCTGGACTGCTCAGTGGAGGAGGAAGAGGAGGAGGAAGACTACGAGGAGGAAGACGGGGTCGAGGAGGACGAGGAGGGTGAAGATGGAGAGAAGGCAGAGGCTGAGGAAGTGCCGGGGCTTCGAGGGCAGGGGCTCGGACGGCAGGGGCGGCGGCTGCGCCGAAGGCGTCGGGGTCCCTCTGGGCCGGAGACTCCAGAGGGCGGAGGGGGCTCGGACAGCAGCGGCGGAGGGGGCTCGGCCCCGGCCCCGGGCCCCGAGGGCTCCCAGTCACCGCGGCCCCTGAAGCGCCGGCGGCCGCCCGAGGGCAGCGGCTGCGCTAAGCCCCGCCGGGCACGCACCGCCTTCACCTACGAGCAGCTAGTGGCCCTGGAGAACAAGTTCAGGGCCACGCGCTACCTGTCCGTCTGCGAGCGACTCAACCTGGCGCTGGCGCTCAGCCTCACCGAGACGCAGGTGAAGATTTGGTTCCAGAACCGCCGCACCAAGTGGAAGAAACAGAACCCCGGCGCCGACGGGCCGGCCGCGCTGCCCGCCCCAGCGGGAGCCGCGGGAGCCCCGGGAGCCTCTGTCCAGGCGCCGGGCCGCAGCCCCAGCCCCCCGGGCCCCAGCGCCCTCCACTTCCAGACGTTCCCTCCCTATTCCTCGGCCAACGTCCTCTTCCCGGCGGCCGCATCCTTTCCCCTGACAGCGGCCGCGGCCGGGGGCCCCTTTGCCCCCTTCCTTGGCTCCACCTACATGAGCCCTTTCTATGCCCCACACCTCTAAGCGACCTCCTCCTCCAGACGGGCCTCGGGGGGCCTCCGCTTCACCAGCGCCTTCGGGTGCTCCTTTGTGGTGGTGATATTCCGACCGTCCACGAAGGGGCGTCGCGTCCCACGCGGGGCGGTCCCGCCTGTCCTAGACTCCTACAAAACTGCGGGAGCCTGGGGACCCGAACTTCTGGGTCCTTTCTGCCCTAAGGATTATTGGTCTTTAGAACGTTAAAGGGAGCCCCAGGGACCTTACAGTCCAGCCCTCTTGTTTTAGATGAAGACACTGAGGTCCAGGGAAAGATCTCGCAAGAGAAAGCGGGTTAAAGATGAACCAGGTCTGAGATCCTTCCACCTCTGCCCCGGGTACTCCATTCTTTCTCTGCAGATAGGGGCAACTGTTTCACAGAATCCTTGAGTTGGAAGCCACCCTCTGGGCGAGACAGCATTCAGACCAGCCTGGAGTGTCTCTCCTTACACACCAGAGTGTCTTCTTTACAACGCTAGGGAAGGAGATTGGCTCCTGGCACCAGAGACGGTTAGACCTGGAAAGCATGTGAGACGCCGTCTAGCTCAGAGGTTCTTGCCCTTTCAGGTGGGTCCTGGACCCTTGGCCAGGCAGTCTGGTGAAGCCTGTGGAGTCTTTTCAGAATCGTGCTTTTAAATGAATAAACTAAAATAGCTGGACTACAAAACAAACTGATTGTATTGAAATACAATTCCCCAAAGTCACGAGCTCCCGCATGGCAGATTGAGAAGCTCTAATCTAGTCTGATCTCTTTATTTAACAGAGAAGGGAAGGGACTTACCCAGGGTAGCTGGGCTGGAGTAGGAACCCAGACTCCTGCCTCCCAAGCTGGCATTTTTCCCTTAGTGCTCTGATGCCTCCTTCAAGCTCCCAGAGTTAGTTGTCTTCTGTCCGCTAAAATCCCAGACTTTTCCAGCTGGACTGATTGGTAGAGATGATCTAACTCCCCTTCCCCTTTCTTGGATTCTGGCCAAGGGAAGGGGTGCTATCTTACCCCTCTAGAATCAAGCTCTTTGGAGGAGAAGAGGCAGGAGCGAGTAGAGTAGGACCCTGGTTTGGGAGTCAGAAGACCTGGGTTTGAGACCCTGCTCTGTTCCTTCATCCCTGGTAGACCTTGGGTACCTTCCCTTTTCCTCTCGGGGCCTCAATTTTCTCATTTCTCAGAGAAGGAGAGGATTTCAGACATCCCTTCCAGCTCCAATTTGTGTGAACTAGAGGCCACCAAGCTCTCTTCCAGCTCCATAGCCTAGCACCCCAAGGACCCTTCTCTTAGTCCCAAAACTCTGTGGGAAGAAGGGCTCTTTGTGCTGCTTCATCGCATTAGGTTTCACACTTGCATCTGTATATTGGCCAACACATGCCAGGAAAGTCAAACACCCCGTGAAACTCTTGGAAAGCTCTTGCTGGCAGGGCAAAAAGAAGGGTATCTTAGTACAATATAGACCACATAACAATCAATTTATGAAAGGGAAATTTTGGTTATTCCTTGTGAAAGCATCCCCAACCCTCTGTGGGTTTTTTTTTTCTTCTAGCTCCACGTTTAGTCCCCAACTCCTTTGGAAAAACCAGGATCATCCCCTCCCAAATGTCTGTCCTAAACTCTGCCTGTAGACTGAATCTACATCAGTCATTTAGAGTAGCCATAGTTCTATTTAGGTCATATTATGCACCAGCTTCTGGGAGAAGCATTTAGGGCATGGTTCCAAATAGAAAGGAGTGCAGGGAAACTAACGAAGTATTTATGTGTCCTCAAGTGAAGTCCTTAGTGGACTGACTATCCATCCCTTTCAGGTCTAAAATATGAGACTCTCATTTGAGCTCCATAATGCCCTGTGAGTATTACTATTTTGATCAGCACGTCTAGAGGCAGCTGGAATCGGATTCAGGAAAGATCTTGGACATTTACTTAGCTTTCTGTCTTTGGGCCAATCACTTTGCCCCCATTAGCCTCAGTTTCATTGTCTGTCAAATGGGATTAACAATATCTGGAGACACACCTCACAGGATTGCTGTGAGGCCCAGATAAGATGATTGATTTAAAGGCTTTGCGAATTTTCAGGTGCTGCTATAAAAATGTCCATGGTGATTATTGGAGGGTTTTGACAGATGAGCGCTCCAGAAGTAATCATCATGGCCTCTAAGATCTTTTTCAGTTCTAGGTCTATGGTCCTATGACCTCATAACTAATAAATGCATCACATCCCTGATGGTGGCATAGTAAGGCAGTAAGTGGGCTTCAAAAAAAAAAAATTGCCCATCTGTTTAAAAAGCTATTTTTGAAGTTAAAAGCATGTTTGTATTTTGACATGAAATGTAACTTTTTTATTTATCTTTTTTCTTTTTTAACAAGTGCTGCTGTAAAGATCCCTTTCTAAATATCCCTTCTGAAGTTTCTTTCCACAAATGAGATTGTAAATTGCTGTAAATGAAAGTTTGGAAGGATAAACTTCACAGCCTCGGATTTCTTCCAGGGCTCCTTGACAGCTTGCATTTATATGGTGAGAGTACACTCTGTGCATTACTAGTACGGAGGCAAGAAGGTGCAGGGGGAAGAGGGCTAGGCGGGAGTCAGCAAACCTGGATTTTGAGCCCCTGTTGTGCCTCTTCCTACCTGGGAGCTCGCCACCAAGTCCCTTCCTCTCTCTAAGCCTCAGTTTCTTCTACTGTAAAATGAGGGGGTTGAACTAGATGACAGATACTGTTCATTCTGTCCAGTCCTACAGCCCTCTGATCTGCTTTCATTTGATCCTCGAACACCTGGTGGAGTAGCCAATGAATGTTGGTCAATAAGTATTAATTAAGTACCTACTGTGTGCCAGGCTCTGTGCTAAGCACTGGGGATACAAAGAAATGCAAGGACAGTTCCTGCTCTCAAGGAGTTTACAGTCTAATGAGGGAGACAACATCTAAGGAACTGTGGACAAACAAGATGTAGACAGGTTAAAGTGGAGATAATCAACAGGGTGTCCCAAAAGTTTAGTGCAATTTAAGCTTTTAATAAGTTTATCCCCACTTCAAAGGTAGGAAAGGTGAAGCTCAGATAGATGCCACTGGCAGTCAATAGTAGAGTTGGGACTCAGAATCCAGGTCTTCTCATTTCAAATTTAGGGTTCTTTTGATTAACCTACAAGCAGATTCCCCTGTAGGTAGGGTCACAATGGATAGGATGAGTGCTGGATCTGAGTTCAGATCCCACCTTTGGTCTTTGTTCTCTGTCTGACAAATCACATTGAGCCTCAAGCGACTCTCTCAGGCTAAGTTCTAGGTGGGTTTAAAGGGGGTTCCCATACTACCAAAAGTCCTGCTGTAATTTCACTTTATTTGATTGTCACCGTGTCTGGACCACTCCTTTAGTTTGTCTGGTGGCTCCCAATTTCCCCCTTGCTTCTATTTCACTGACCAATCCCACCAGTGATAAGCACATTGTTCCTAAGGAGAAGCTGCTGCACTGCTATCTTTAAGTATTTATTCTTTGACTACTAGAAAGCAGAGCAGTAGAATGAATGAATGAAGCCCTGTTGGAGTTTCATTCATTCATTTATTTATTATATTATTTTTGCCAAATGAGAGACTGTCCCTTCCCAGGACTACCTCTAAGAAAGACAATATTTGTATTTGCTGACATGCAGGTCACTGCCATTTAGATTCTGAACCTTCTGTTCTTAGGAATAGCAGAGAGCTTCCCTCTCCTAACAGCCAATTAAAATGCTCATATCACTATATCTGTGATGTCAAATGAGCTGTAGCAGAACATTTTAGTCATTGAAACATTCTTAAACCATTGTGGCCCCATATCCAGCCTATAGCAGATGAGGGAGGTGCCTAACAGGCTGGGGGGGAGGGAAGGGGATTTTCTGGCTCAGTTTCTTTGATATTCCAGGAGTCTTTGATCTCTTCTATGTGTATATTTGCCTCCAGTTCAGCCACTGTCCTCTCCTAAATTGTCAGCAGGGGGTGAGGGTCACTCAAGGCAAAATTCAGATAGGAAGGAAATACATAGTTTTAGGTGTGCAGAGAGCCCAGAATGAGGCTTAAACAGAAACTCAATTTTAAGTTTCTGCTTAAAGTTAGAAACAGAATAAGACTTTTCGGAAATATTTCATCCTAAATATTGCACATATCAAAATGAAAAGAGGTTTGACTGTGGTGGTGTTGGTGGTGGTGGTAGTAGGAGCTGAGAAAATGGGAAAGACTTAATTATCCCTGGACTCTGTGACCTGGGTTCATTCAGATCATTTGCCTCGTGTATGCCTTAGGTTTTTGCAGAGGTCTGTTCTGCTGTCTCTTTTGGTTTCATGATGTTTTGAAGTGTCTACTGACTTTCCACTCTCCCTAAAGAGCAATTTTCTTGGTGTGTTTATCTAAATAAATTGGATTTTATAATTATTTTTTGTTTAATTGTGGTTCACTGTTATCAAGGCTTTAAAAAAATCAATTTTTATATTGACAAGAGGACCCAAATATGTTTTCTCCTACTCACTGCCCTGACCTGGGACAGCTAGGTGGAGAAGTGGATAGAGCTGCTGGGCCTGGAGCCAGGAAAACTCATCATGAGTTCAACTCTGGCCTCAGATGCTTACTAGCTGTGTGATGCTAAGCAAGTCACTTAACCCTGTTTGCCTAAGTTCCTTATTTGTAAAATGAAGGGGAGAATGAAATAGCAAACCCCTCCAGTGTCTTTGCCAAGAAAACCCCACCTGGGGTCACAAAGAGTTGGACATGACTGAAAAACAACTCACTGTACTCTACAGAGTAGAAAAGGAAATAATCCTTGCCCTCAAAGAGTTTACATTCTACCAGGAGGATACAATGAGTACACAGATAAATACAAAACTTACCCAAAACAGTTTCAAAGGTGGGGCATGAATACCTGGGAGGGCTCCAGAAGGTCTCTAGGTGGAACTTGGCAGAGCCTTCAAGAACCCAGGGTCCCGCTGAATCACTGGAGTAGGACCATGGGCCAAGCCCACTGCAGTGCCTTTGGGTAA